CCCTGTCTGCTGGGTGGTTGCAGCAGGTTTTGGTCACTTCACATCACCCTGGGACACTATGACCGTCATAAATATGAATCAGTTGCCAAACATCTGAATGTAAATCACAAGACCCTGGAGATGCTGCAACATTCCCGCTGATCGTAGCTTCTTCTGGGCTCAGCAGAAGCGCCAGGATCAGTGCTGAGCTCCAGCTGGACCCTGGCGCTGATCCTGGCGCTTCCGCTGAGCCCTGACAGCCCTGCAGCTCCAGCCGTCTCTCGCTCAGGCTTGTGCGGTGCTGCCACCGGTTCAGCTCATTCCCCTCCCCCGCTACCACTTTTCTAGGATGGTCGCGTATCACCTGCCAGGTGCCAATGTGCCACAGGTGGTACCCGTACCACTGGTTGAAAAGCCCTGGACTAGATGACCTCCAAGGGCCCTTCCAACTCTTCTAGTATTCTGTTAATGATTGCAATTACTTACAATAGTAATTCTGAGCTTAACTACTGTCATAAGTCAAGGTAGTAGATGGGAACCTAGATATGATACTGTAGAAACAAAATAGATGCCTCTGTCGTAGCAGCATAATAGAGTATTGACATCCCTCCAAATTAAATATTGAGACATCTATTTAGAATATGTTTAAAATGAAAGCTAGAAGGTCAGACACCATATATAAAAAATCCATTTGGAGTGATGCATTTGGGTCAAAGCGGCAAGAACACTGAGTTCTCCATAAAGTCCCAGTTGAAATATATACTTTTGGTTTTTAGGATTTTAAGTAATATATATATATATATATAATGTGATTTATTTGTTCACAGAGAGGTGTATTTTACCAGCAAGGTATAAATAAAGATGAAAAAACATTCCTAGCCTTCAGAACCGTATGAGGCTATTATTCACGGGCAATCTGAGGACAGAGTCTACTTATGTATTTGAGAGAAAGAGAGACATAAGGCCATTTGAGAGAGCACTTCCGTCTCAAGTCTGAACGAGAAACATTCCATCTTTGCAAACAGGAATCTGAAAGGAAGCCATGCTGGAGTCACTTCCAATAAACAAGCAAGCCACGTTCATTTTTGGTGACCAAAAAAAAAAAAAAAAAAAGGGATATCAGTAATTGCTGGGGTGCATTGAACAAAGCAAAAATGACCAAGAGTCATTTGACTGTCTGGGAAAGAAAGAAAGAAAGAAAGAGAAGGAAAGAGAGAGAGAGAGAGAAAGAAAAGAAAAGGAAAGGAAAGAGAGAGAGAGAAAGACAAAAAGAGAAAGAAAAAGAAAGAGAGAAAGAGAAAAAAGGAGAGAGAAAAAGAAAGAGAAAAAGAAAGAAAGAGAAAAAAAGAAAGAGAGAGAGAGAGAAAGGAAAGGAAAGAGAGAAAAAAAAGAAAGAAAGAAAGAAAGAAAGAAAGAAAGAAAGAAAGAAAGAAAGAAAGAAAGAAAGAAAAAGAAATGTCATCTCCTTCAACATTCTAACTGCTCTGATGGAATTAACTTTCTGTGACAGGTTGATCAACTTCAATTGTTGTGAAAGAAAAGGTGGAGCATTCACAACTTCTGGAGGCAAGTTGTTCCACTGATTTATTGTTCTTCTGTCAAGAAAGTTCTAGGTTGCTTCTCTCCTTCATAAAGCAGGACTAGAACTCACAGTCTCCTGGAGATTGGTCCTAAGTCGCCCAGCCAGCTTTCATGCCCAAGGCGGGACTAGAACTCACAATCTCCTGGGGATTGACCCAAAATTGCCCAGCTTCCTAAGTCAGGACTAGAACTCACTATCTCCCAGTTTTATGCTTGGTGCCTTCGCCATTACACCAAACTTTCTCTCTAGAAAAGATGTTAGGGAGCTAGAAAAGATGCTAACAGAGTCCGTCAAAGAGATTTGAGGGTTAATGCAGTGGACACATGAAAATGGTGCTGCGGTGACCATGGCAGATTTTTAGATGTTAAAGAGGGTTTCTACAAGTTCTTGAAGAATCAACTAACTAATATTTATGACCGTCAGAATCTTAGGCCAAAGAAGTCCAGTACATGGAGACAAGGAACAGTGAATGGGACTATCTCTACTCTAACACATTATCTTTCCAACTTAAATTTTGAAAACTAGTGTCACGTATTCAAGAACTACACACACTTCTTTTTCTTTTACACACCTCCTCCCCACAACTGATCTGCACAATCCTTCCACAGAAGTTCATCAGAAATGGCACTGCTCTGTTTGCAAACTTGGCCCCCCACAAATGAGGGAGCAATGGCCCCTTACAAAAATTAAAATAAATCAACTGTCCAAATATAATGTCTTGAAGGCCTCTGCACCGATTTCTCTTAACGTGTTAAACTTTTGGCTTACAGGCTCATTGGATCCCATTCTGCTGAAAAATAACAACAAAATAGTGCCAGACGTTTGTGGTTTTCTCTGCTGTCTATTTTGTTTTTCAAAGTCGGGTTCCAAGTAGGAAGCAGAAACATTATTGCTGCAGAAATATAGTGCCACTAATACATCTGCAGCTCCTGAATAAGTTGCCCAGTTTGAATCAGCCATCTGTTTATAGCAATAGCACTTAAGACTTATATACCGCCCCGCAGGGCTTTGCAACATTCTTTGGGCTGTTTGTAATGTTAGCATATTGCCCCAAACAATCTGGGTTCTCATTTTACCAACCTCAGATGGAAGGATGACTCAACTTTGAGCTGGTCAGGAACGAACTGCTGGCAGTTGGCAGAATTAGCCTGCAATGCTAATTCTAACCACTGTGCCACCAGATATAGAATAGTTGATGGATGGATGGATGGATGGATGGATGGACGGACGGACGGACGGACGGACAGACGGACGGACAGACAGACAGACAGACGATAGATAGAGAGGGAGGGAGGACAGAGCAATAGCAAGAGTGCTTAGACTTATATACCGCTTCACAGTGCTTTACAACACTAAGCAGTTAACAGAGTCAGTATATTGCCCCCAACAACCTGGGTTCTCATTTTACCAATCTCGGAAGGATGGAAGGCCAAGTCAACCTTGAGCCAGTCAGGATCGAACTGCTGGCAGTTGGCAGAATTAACCTGCAATACTGCATTCTAACCACTGCACCACCACATATAGAATGGGTGATGATAGATAAATAGATAATAAATCAGTAGATAGATAATAGAGAAGTAGATAGATAACAGAGAAGTAGAAAGATAATAGAGTAGATAGATAGATAGATAGATAGATAGATAGATAGATAGATAGATAGATAGATAGATAGATATAGAACAATAGCAAGAGCACTTATATATCACTTCACAGTGCTTTACAGCCCTCTGAACAGTTTACAGAGTCAGCATATTATTTTACTGACCTTGAAGGATGGACAACTAAGTCAACCTTGAGCTGGACAGGATCAAACTCCAGGATGTGGGCAGTTAACCTGCAATACTAATATGCATACCGCATACACTATCACTTTACAATGCAACCTTTTGGATGTTTATGACCTTTTAAGGATGAAAATTGGAGGAGCTTTATTCCTATACACAATGGGACAAAAGAAATAAACAAGAACCCAGTCCCAGTTACTCAAGACACCTCCCGAGTATTATTTTCATGCTATTTATTCATTGAGCAATTTTGTTCTCATCCATCAGGGGGCAGAAGAAGACCAAGATTAATAACATCACACCTGTTAAGTTCCAAGTCTTGCCTTCTACCTTTTCTGATTACATACATTTTAGGCACTGGACAAAGCAAAATGACCTGAAAATAATTTAAAGCAAGGCAAAATCCACCAGGAATGCTGAAATGTCAAGGCAGCCCTCGACTTACGACGATTCATTTAGTGACCAGTTCAAAGTTACGATGGAGTGACTTAGGACCGTTTTTCACACTTCCAACCGTTGCAGTCAAAATTCAGGTGCTGGGCAACTGACTCCTATTTATGACTCCTATTTATTACCTATCACTCCTATGTGATCCCCTTTTGCGACCGTCTGACAAGTAAAGTCAACGGGGAAGCCCAATTCACTTAACAACGGTGTGGCTCACTTAGTAACAGCAGTGATTCCCGTGGTGAGAAGAGTCATCCAATGGGGCAAAACTCACTTTAACAACGGCCCCGCTTAGCAACAGAAATGTCGGGCTCAATCGTGGTCGTAGGTTGAGGACTACCTGTACAGAGAATGAAGTACAATCAGACTCCTCCTTTCAACATTAAATGCCATGCGGGTGAAGCTGTAGATTGATCTTTCTGGATCCCGAAGCCCAAAGAGGTGTGTCTAAACCAGAGGTAGGCAATCTTGGCTCTTTTATGACTCGTGGACTTCAATTCCCAGAATTCCTGAGCCAGCATGGGGGAACTATGGCCCCTTCATGACTCGTGGACTTCAACTCCCAGAATTCCTGAGCCAACATGAGGGAACTATGGCCCCCTCATGACTCGTGGACTTCAACTCCCAGAATTCCTGAGCCAGCATGGGGGAACTATGGTCCCTTCATGACTCATGGACTTCAACTCCCAGAATTCCTGAGCCAGCATGGCTCAGCTTAGAACCCTCTCCCTTTCCCCTCAGAATGGTTTACTCAGGAATTCTGGGAGTTGAAGTCCATGAGTCATAAAAGAGCCAAGGTTGCCTACCTCTGGCCTAGGCCTAGGTCGCTTTATGACTCGTGGACTTCAACTCCCAGAATTCCTGAGCCAGCATGGCTCAGCTTGGAAACCTCTCCCTTTCCCCTCAGCGTGGCTGGCTCAGGAATTCTGGGAGTTGAAGTCCACGAGTCATAAAAGAGCCACGGTGGCCTACCCCTGGTCTAAACCCAACATTGGGTCAGGAATCCGGGGTTTTGCCTCAAGCCGCTCTGCATTCTAGCATCTTCCTGAAACTTTTCTGAAAGCTGTCATCCAGGAAGGCGTACAAGAAAGGATTCAAGCAAGAGTTGGCATAGCTCAGGCTGGTGATGAAATAGGAGATGCCGATGACCGCCGGGGTCTGGGGCAAGTCCGTGGTCAAAGCCACAATGGTGGCCAGGTGGAAGGGCGTCCAGCAGAAGAGGC